TATTGTATTCAGTATTAATATCATATATATTATTGATATTTGCATATGAATTAATATTATATTATTAATATTATTAATATTATTAATAATATAATATTAATTCATATGCAAATATCAATATAATTATATATCATAAATATCAATAATATTTTATTTATATTTTTCTTATATCTATAATTATGGAACAGTCTGTATATTAAGAATTAATATTATTACATATAATATTAATATAGATAATTACAGATTAATGTTAATATAAATAATTAATATTATATATATTATATAAATAATTAATATAATATTAATTCTTAATATACAGACTGTTCCATAATATATATATATAATTATATTGATATTATTATACGAATTAACCTTATATATATAATATTACAATTATTAACATGCAGGCACACTGTATTTACTATAATACTGTTTTTTACGTAGAATTTAATGATTATAATAATATATTTATATTCGTAGAATCGAAGACGAGCTTCGTAACATGTTAAAAAAAGCAAAATAACGTGAACCCTATTACAGAATCATATGCCCCCCTGCAAACCAAATTTGTTCATACAACGAATACTGCACAACCTTCTTGCTGTCGTCATGTTGTTGCTGAAGACTCGCACTATACCTATATTCAAATCAAAATATCTAATGTTCGAAACGAATCTCAGCCGAGATCGCAGCAGCTGAACAAAAGAAAAACGAAAAAGAAAAAAACTGTTCCACGTGCCCGTAGCAGATTTTTGCTGCCACGTACACGTTTCGAAAACCGCACTTACGGCGAACATTCCGAGAAAAGGTGTCACCGGTGCCGGGGCGCTAACGGCGCCGGTAGCGCGAGTAGGTCGCCCCGGATCGATCGGCTTTCCATCGCAGTTACACGCGGCATTCCGAGAGCGAACTTACCGGGATCGGAGGAAGGATGAGCCCTGGTGAGTCTGCAGAGTTGCAGCGGCAGATAACGAGTATCCGCTCGCGGTGGTGACTTCGGCGGCGGGGGCGTCGCGCTGAGAAAGCCGCGCTGCAGCTCCCAGCCGACTTCCTGGATGATCGAAGCCTTCCTGAAGTACGGCGTCACCTCCCTCAGATATTTCACTGTAACAGACAGAACGGCGCGGATGGTGAGCGACATCCAAAGGAACGTAACGCGTTTCTGTAACGTTTCGAGGGGAGGAGCCTCCTCCCGCGTAACTCGTTTCCGACGATCCCGACTGAATTATGGCTTTGAACGCGATATAGAAAATACGATATAGAAATACACACGTTAAGTGGAAAATGTCTCGCCTTTTCCGGTTAGATTAGAAACGTGTGTGCGTATATGAAGAAATGTCGGATCTTCTTTACACGCGAACGTTTATCTCCCTTTTGTTTTCGTTGTGCTTTCGTTTTTGGCATGATCTCGTTTATAGTCGTACTGTGCGCTGCCGGAGTTAGGTTTCAACGAAATTTCGAACCGCTCCGCCTAATGTAAAACAGCTGTTCCTTTTTGTGCTCCGTGAATCTAGCGTCAATAATGTGGCGATTTCTTCCACTTGAGATTCTTTTACTCAAATTTATTCGAGATTACTCAATTTTATGAAAAATCGTTCTGGTAGATGAATTTATCGATTCGAAAGATCGGAATTTCTTTAAGACAGGCATCTCTACGCGTTGAAATCTCGTCGGAAAAAGTGTATCGAAGCAAACGGAGCATGTTTTAATGAAATAAACAGCTTCTGAAAAAAGATACGCAGTTCTATATACATACAGGGTGTCCCAAAAATGTCTCGCAGTCCGAGAATGGGAGATTCCTGAGGTAATTTGAAGTAAGTTTGTCCTTGGCGAAAATGCAATCCACGGCTTTGTTTACTAGTTATTAACGAGAAAGAGTGACCAATGAGAGGCGAGATATGCTGGCGCAAGGCGGCCGAGCCAACGAGCGAAACTGGGCTTCGTGCGCTCATTGGCTCGGTCGCCAAGCGCTAGGCGAGCTCGCCTCTCATTGGTCAGTGTTTTTCGTTAATAATTCGTAAACGAAGCCACGGGTTGCATTTTCGCTAAGGAAAAAGTTACTTCAAATGATCCCAGGAACTTCTC